GACGGACAGACGGACATGGGGGAGGGGACAATGATGGACAGACACAGGGGGGGACACGGACGGACGGACGGACACGGGGGGACATGGACAGAGGGACACAGGGGAACATGGACGGATGGATGGACGGACACGGCGGGGACATGGATGGACAGATGGACGCGGGGGGGGGGGACATGGACAGAGGGACATGGTGGGGACACAGATGGACAGACGGACACGAGGGGCACGCAGACAGACACAGGGGGGACAGGGACGGACAGACGGACGCGGACAGACAGACAGACAGACACGAAGGGACATGGACGGACACAGCGGGGGGGGACACGGACGGACAGACGGACATGGGGGGGACACAGACAGATGGACACAGTGGGGGGGGACACACGGACGGACAGACGGACACGGACAGGGAGGAGAGAGAGGAGAGAAACGAGTCAAGAGCCGGAGGGGGGGGACGGACGGACGGACAGACGGACACGGGGACACGAGAGGGGGGAGCGGGGGGGACACGAGTGGGGGGAGGGGCGGGGGGGGGAATCCAGCGGGGTGGGGGAGGGGCCCCGGGGGCGGCGGGTCCGGCCCTGACCCCCCCAAACCCCCAAAATCCCCAAATCCCACTCGGGGGAAGGGGGGGTCCTGGGGGTCCCCTTGTCCCCCCCAATGTCCCCAATGTCCCCAAATGTCCCCAGGGTCACACTCACGGCATGGAGGGGCCGAGTTGGGGGGTCCAGGGGGGTTTTGGGGTGTCCGGGTGGGATTTTGGGTCTCCTGGGGGGCTTTGGGGTGTCCGGGTGGATTTTGGGTTGTCCGGGTGGATTTTGGGGTGTCCCGGGTGGATTTTGGGTTGTCCGGGTGGATTTTGGGGTGTCCGGGTGGGATTTTGGGTTGTCCGGGTGGATTTTGGGTTGTCCGGGTGGGATTTTGGGGTGTCCCGGGTGGGATTTTGGGGTGTCCGGGTGGATTTTGGGTTGTCCGGGTGGGATTTTGGGGTGTCCGGGTGGATTTTGGGGTGTCCGGGTGGGATTTTGGGGTGTCCGGTGCCTCGGTCCGGCCGGTCCGGCCGCTGCCCCTCCCCCCCTTTCCTGCCCCTTCTCCCCCCCCCCCCCGGTCCGGAAGGGCCCGGGCGGAATTCCGGCCCTGCCCGACCCTGGGGACAGCGGGGACAGCGCGGGGACAGCGCGGGGACAGCGCGGGGACAGCGAGGGGACAGCGGGGACATGGCCCTGAACAGGGACAGGGGGCGGGGACAGGGACAGGGGGACAGGGATGTGACAGGACTGGCGACACGGGGACATGGGGATAGGGAGGGGGGACACGGCCTGGGACGGGGACAGGGACATGGGGACAGGAGGGACATGGCCCTGAACAGGGACAGGGATGGGGACAGGGACATGGGGACAGCGGGACATGGAGGGGACAGGGACAGGGACGCTGGAGTCACAGCTCAGCACAGGGACTGGGAGGGGACAGGGAGGACATGGCCTGGGACAGGGTCAGGGAGGGGACAGGGACAGGGAGGGGGACAGCGCGGGGACAGGGACATGGCCCTGAACAGGGACATGGGGACAGGGCGGGGACAGAGACAGGGACATGGGGACATGGCCTGGGACAGGGACAGGGACACTAGAGTCTCCCTGGGACAGGAACGGGGACATGGGCACAGGGAGGGGACAGAGGGATGGGGACATGGGGACAGGGACAGGGGAGACATGGCCCTGCACAGAGACAGGGAGGGGACAGGGACATGGGGACAGGGACATGGGGACAGCGGGACATGGAGGGGACAGGGACAGGGACGCTGGAGTCACAGCTCAGCACAGGGACTGGGAGGGGACAGGGAGGACATGGCCTGGGACAGGGTCAGGGAGGGGACAGGGACATGGGGACAGGGACATGGGGACAGGGACAGGGATGCCAGAGTCACAGCCCAGCACAGGGACAGGGGGGACATGGCCTGGGACAGGGACAGGAACAGGGAGAGAACAGGGACAGAGGGGACATCACCCTGCACAAGGACAGGGACAGGGAGGGGACGGGGACGTGGAAAAATGGGGACACGGAGGGGACAGGGACAGAGCCTGGGTTGGGGACAGGGGGGACATGGCCATGCACAGGGACAGGGACATCAGAGTCACAGCCTGGGACAGGGAGGGGACAGGAACAGGGGAGGGGACACTGCCCGGGACAGGGACAGGGAGGGGACACGGCCTGGCACAGGGACAGAGACAGGCAGAGGGACAAGGAGGGGACAGGGAGGGGACACAGCCCGGCACACCCGCACATGGCCCTGGCACGGGGGTGCCACCACCTTGGCACCGTGTGACACGGGGTCACACATGGTGTCACACAGTGTCACACACAGTGTCACACACAGTGTCACACACGGTGTCACACATGGTGTCACGGTGTCACACACGGTGTCACGGTGTCACACATGGTGTCACACAGTGTCACACACGGTGTCACACACGGTGTCACGGTGTCACACATGGTGTCACACACGGTGTCACACATGGTATCACAGTGTCACACACAGTGTCACACACAGTGTCACACACGGTGTCACATGGCCCGTGCACACCCCGGCACTGCCCTCGCACAGGGGTCACACCTGGTGTCACACCCTGGCACGGTGTCACACAGTGTCACCATTGTCACACGGTGTCACATGCAGTGTCACACAGTGTCACACCCTGGCACGGTGTCACACACAGTGTCACACACAGTGTCACACACGGTGTCACACACGGTGTCACACGCTGTGCCACTATCGTCACATGCCCTTGCACAAGGTTACACAGGGTCACACACAGTGTCACATGCACTGTCACACACGGTGTCACCACTGTCACATGGTCCTCGCACAGGGTTGCACGGTGTCACACCCTGGCACGGTGTCATGGTGTCACATGCAGTGTCACACGTGGTGTCACACACGGTGTCACCATTGTCACACGCCCTTGCACAGGGGTCACACCTGGTGTCACACCCTGGCACGGTGTCACATGCAGTGTCACACACGGTGTCACCATTGTCACACGCAGTGTCACCATTGTCACACACCCTTGCACGGGGTTGCACAGTGTCACACCCTGGCACGGTGTCACAACACGGTGTCACCGTTGTCACATGGTTCTTGCATGGGGGTCACACCTGGTGCCACAGCCTGGCACGGTGTCACACGCGGTGTCACCACCGCCACATGGCCCTTGCACACCCCGCACAACCCCGGCACAGTGTCACACGGCGTCACACGCGGCGTCCCACCCGCTGTCACACACGGTGTCACACACGGTGTCACGCAATGTCATACACTGTGTCACACCCATAGACACACACTATGTCACATACACAGTGTCACACACACAGTGTCACACCCGGTGTCACATGCCATCACACAGGGGTCACACAAGGGTGTCACACCCTGGCAGTGTCACACGCTATGTCACATGGTGTCACAGTGTCACTCTCAGTGTCACACAGACCTTGGTGTCACTCTCAGTGTCGCTCTCAGTGTCACACAGCCCTTGGTGTCACACGCGCTGTCACATGCTCTTGCACGGGGTTGCACACGGTGTCACACGGTGTCACACCCAGCGTCACCCACACTGACACACCCACTGTCACGCAGTGTCACACAGAATGTCACAGTGTCACACACACTGACACACCCAGTGCCACACAGAATGTCACACCCAGTGTCACATAATGTCACACACAGTGTCACACAGCCGGTGTCACGCCCATGTCACACGATGTCACACCCAGTGCCACACACAATGTCACAATGTCACATCCACTGCCACACCCAGTGTCACACCCAGTGCCACACACTGACACACACAATGCCACACCCAGTGTCACACGATGTCACTCGGTGCCACACCCAGTGCCACACCCAATGTCACACAATGTCATACCCAATGTCACACCCACTGACACACACAATGTCACTCATAATGTCATACCCAGTGTCACACCCAGTGCCATACACAATGTCACATGATGTCACCCACTGTCACACCCAGTGTCACACACTGTCACACACAATGTCACAGCCAGTGCCACACCCACTGTCACACACACTGACACACAGAGTGTAACACACAATGTCACAGCAAGTGTCACCCAATGTCACACCCAGTGTCACAGTGTCACACGATGCCACCTGGTGTCACACCCGCTGTCGCAATGTCACATGATGCCACCCACTGTCACACCCAGTGTCACACACTGTCACACACAAAACATCACACCCAGTGCCACACTCGGTGGCACAATGTCACATGATGTCACCCAGTGCCACACCCAGTGTCACACACAAAATGTCACACCCAGTGTCACCCATAATGTCACACCATGTCACACCAGCCCCTGCCCGGTGTCACCCTCGGTGTCCCCCCCCCCGTTCTGTCGCTGTCCCTGCCCTGTCAGTGTCACACCCCGGCCCCTCCCCCACGGGGCGGTTTTGGGGCCATTTGGGGCATTTTTGGGGGGATTTTGCTCCCGTTACCATGGCAACGTCCCCCCCCGTTTGTCGCCTCCCCCGGCGCTGTCACCGCTGTCACCGCCCGCGCTGTCGCCCGGCAACGCCGCCCCGGCACCCGCGCGGCCCCGCCTGTCGCGACATGACGCATGTCGCGACACTGTCACAGCGCGGGGACCGCCCTGTCGCGACGCGTCAGCGCCGCTGCGACGCGCCGGCCCTATCGCGACACGACGCGCCGGGGGCTGTCCTGATAGATCGGCCCTGTCGCGATATATCAGCCCTGTCGCGACACACCGGCTCCAGCGCAGCGCGTCACTGTCGCGACATGCGTGGGAAAGGGGGGGGTAATGGCGGGACAGAAGGGCCCTGTCGCGACAGAACGGCGCTGTCGCGACTCACCTGACACCCCCCCCCCCACCCCCCCCACCCCAGGAGGGGACCCAGGCGTCCGAGGGGGGGGAGGGGAAGGGAAGGAGGGGGAGGGGCGCGGTGGGGGAGGGGCAGCACTGACCTCACTGTCCTGGAGCTGTCGCGATCCGACCTGGGGGGGGGGAGGGGGGAAAAGGGGGGGAGGGGTCAGTGAGGGGCAGAGATCCCTCCCCCCAAAATCCCCCCAAAACTTCCCCAAAACCGCCCAAAATCCCCCAAAACCGCCCAAAATCCCCCAAAACCGCCCCAAAATCCCCAGGTCCGTCTGTCCCCAGGTGCCCCCGGACAGACAGACGGTGCCCGGGGGGGGGGGGAGGGGGGGGCTCTGACGTCGCCCCTCCCCCCCCGCGGGTCCCGCACCTGCTCCTCCCCCCAGGGGCGCGGATGGGGGAGGGGCCGCAGCCAAAAAATCCCAAAATTGGGAATCACAAATCCCACAAATCTCACAAATTCACGATTTTGGGAAGGGAATCCCAAATCCCAGATCCTTAAATCCCCCATTTTGGGAATCATAAATCCCACAAATCCCCGATTTTAGAAATCCCAAATCCAGGATTTTGGGAAGGGAATCCCGGATCCCGGATCCACAAATCCCAAATTTTGGGGACCCCAAATCCCCGATTTTGGGAAGGGAATCCTGGATCCATAATCCCCGATTTTAGAAATCCCAAATCTCGGATTTTGGGAATCCCACAAATCCCCAATTTTGGGAAGTTCTGAATCCCAGATCCTCGATTTAAGGAATCCCGAATCCCACAAATCCCCGATTTTGGGAATCTCAAATCCCCAGTTTTGGGGAGGGAATCTCCAATCCCACAAATCCCTGATTTTGGAAATCCCAATTCTCCAAATCCCCGATTTTGGGGAGGGAATCACCAATCCTACGAAACCCTGATTTTGGAGGCTGGAGAGGAGGAGTCCCTGATCCCAAATCCTGGATTTTGGGAATCCCCAATCCCACAAATCCCTGATTTTGGGAAGTTCCCAATCCCACAAATCCCAGATTTTGGTAATCCCAAATCCCACAAATCTCAGATTTTGGGAAGTTCCAAATCCCAGATCCCCGATTTTGGGGTGTGCTCCTGAACTCTGCTCTCCAGTCTGAGATTTTGGGGCCGTTCCCAATCCCCAGTCCCATTTTTTGGGGCCATTACCAACTCCTGTTTTTAGGGCTGTTCCTCACCCTCAATCCCATTTTTTGGGGTCGTTCCCCATCCCCAGTCCCTGATTTTGGGGCCATTCCTGACCTCTGATTTTGGGGCCATTCTGAATCCCCAATCCTGGATTTTAGGACCCTTCCCAATCCCATTTTTTGGTGCTGCTCTCCATCCCCAATCCCATTTTTTGGTGTTCCCCGTCCCAATCCCTTTTTTTAGGATCATTCCCCACCCCAATCCTGGTTTTTGGGGCCGTTCCTGACTCCAGTTTTCGGTGCCGTTCCCAATTCTGTTTTTAGGGCCATTCCCCATCCCAATCCCAGATTTTGGGGCCGTTCTCAATCCCTGTTTTTGGGGCCATTCCCCATTCCCAATCCCATTTTTTGGGGCCGTTCCTGACTCCAGTTTTTGGGACCATTCCCAACACCCAATCCCTGATTCTGGGGCCATTCCCAATCCCATTTTTTATGATCATTCCCCTCCCCAATCCCGTTTTTGGTGCTGTTCCCAACCCCAATCCCATTTTTAGGGCCTTTCCCCCATATTTTTGGCACCATTCTCCTCCCCAATCCCATTTTTTTAAACCTACCCTAATCCCATTTTTTGGCACCATTCTCCACCCCAATCCCATTTTTTGGGGCCATTCCCCATCCTGTCTTTGGTACCGTTCCCAATCCCATTTCCTGGCACCATCCCTCTCCCCAATCCCATTTTTTTTAGGACCATTCCTCCCCAATCCCATTTTTTGGGGCCATTCCTGACTGCCGTATTTGGTGCTGTTCCCAATCCTGTTTTTAGGATCATTCCCTCCCCAGTCCCGTTTTTTAGGGCCATTCCCCATCCCCAATCCCATTTTTTGGCACTATTCCCCTCCCCAGTCCCATTTTTTTTTTTTTGCACTGTCCCCTCCCCAATCCCATTTTTAGTGCCATTCCCCCCTCCCCACTCCCGGTATTTTTGTGTCCCCAATCCCATTTTTTAGGATCATTTTCCATTCCCCAATCCCATTTTAGGACCTCTCCACTCCCGGTATTTTTGTGTCCCCAATCCCATTTTTTAGGATCATTTTCCATTCCCCAATCCCATTTTAGGACCTCTCCACTCCCGGTATTTTTGTGTCCCCAATCCCATTTTTTAGGATCATTTTCCATTCCCCAATCCCATTTTAGGACCTCTCCACTCCCGGTATTTTTGTGTCCCCAATCCCATTTTTTAGGACCATTTTCCATTCCCCAATCCCGTTTTAGGACCTCTCCACTCCCGGTATTTTTGTGTCCCCAATCCCATTTTTTAGGATCATTTTCCATTCCCCAATCCCATTTTAGGACCTCTCCACTCCCGGTATTTTTGTGTCCCCAATCCCATTTTTTAGGATCATTTTCCATTCCCCAATCCCATTTTAGGACCTCTCCACTCCCGGTATTTTTGTGCCCCCCCGTATGCCGTACTTGCGCTGCAGGGTGGTGGCCGGGCTGGTGCTGGCGCTGGTGCTGTGTCCGCCCCCGGGGCTGGAGCTGCGGGAGGCGCCGCGGCTCAGCGGCCCCCGCGCCCACTCCCGCTCCCAGCAGCCGCCGTAGTGCCCGTCCCGGGCCCGGAACGGCGCCTCCCGCTCCAGCCGGGCCGGGTACGGCCCCTCCTGCTCCAGCCGCGCCGGGTACTGCGCGTCCCGCTCCGGGTACTGCGCGTCCCGCTCCAGCCGCGCCGGGTACGGCCCCTCCCGGTCCATGCGGCTGGAGTACTGTCCATCCTGCTCCATCCTGCTGGAATATTGTCCGTCCTGCTCCATCCTGCTGGAGTACTGTCCGTCCTGCTCCATCCTGCTGGAATATTGTCCGTCCTGCTCCATCCTGCCCGGGTACTGCCCGTCCCTGTCCAGGTGCGGCTGGTACTGGAGGTCCCGCTCCAGGCAGCCGTGGAACTGCCCCTCCTGCTCCATGCGGGCCGCGTAGGGCCCGTCGCGCTCGGCTCGGCTCAGGTAGGGTCTGTCCCGCTCCTTTCGGCTCGGGTAGGGCCGCTCGTGCTCGCCCCGGCCCGTGTAGGGCCCGTCCCGCTCGGTGAGCGCCTCGAAGGCCGCGTCCCGCTCCAGGTGCGCGGGGTAGGGCCGCTCCCGCTCCAGGTGCTCCGCGTAGCTCCCGTCGTGCTCCAGGTGCTCGGGGTAGGTCCCGTCGCGCTCCAGGTGAGCCGGGTAGGCCCCGTCGGGGTCGCCGTGGCTCGGGTAGGGCAGGTCCCGCTCGGCCCGGGCCGGGTACGGCAGCTCGGGGTCCCCGTAGAGCCCCTCGGCCTCCAGGTGGTTCTGGTACTGAGCCTCGGCGTCCGCGTGGCCCTGGGGACACGGAGGGGACACGGGGGTGGCACCGCGGGCTGGGCAGGGACGGTTCTGGGCATGGATGGGAGCCCCCGACACGGGATGGATGGACCTGAGACCCCCGACTCAGTCTGGGCATCCCTGAGACCCCCTGACATGGGATGGATGGACCTGAGACCCCCCGACTCAGTCTGGGCATCCCTGAGACCCCCTGACCCAGGATGGATGGACCTGAGACCTCTGCCCTGGTCTGGACATCCCTGGGACGCCCTGACCTGGGATGGGTGGACCTGGGACCCCCAGCTTGGTCTGGGCATGGATGGGACACCCTGATCCGGGATGGATGGACCTGAGACCCCTCTGACCCGGGATAGGCAGCCCTGGGACCCCTGTCCTGTTCTGGACATCCCTGAGACCCCCCTGATCTGGGATGGATGGACCTGAGACCCCCGACTCAGTCTGGGCATCTCTGAGACCCCCCTGACCCGGGATGGATGGCCCTGGGACCCCCTGACCCTGCCCCAAAGGGCCCTGGGATCCCTTTGGGGGTCCTGAGACCCCTGCCCTGGTCTGGACATCCCTGGGACCCCCTGACCCAGGATGGAGGCCCTGGGACCCCTGACTCAGTCTGGGCATCCCTGAGACCCCCAGACCCAGCCTGGATGGACCTGAGACCCCTGCCCTGGTCTGGGCATCCCTGAGACCCCTGACCCAATCCCACAAGGTCCAGGACCCCCTGACCCAGCCCATACAGCCCTAAGCCCCCTGCCCTGGTCCAGACATCCCTAAGACCACCCCCCTTGGGGTCCTGAGACCCCTGCCCTGGTCTGGATGGCCCTAGGACCCCCTTGACCGCCCCATATGGCCCTGGGACCCCCGACTCGATCTGGGCATCTCTGAGACCCCCCTGACCCGGGATGGATGGCCCTGGGACCCCCTGACCCAATCCCACAAGGCCCAGGACCCCCTGACCTGGTCTGGACATCCCTGGGACCCCCTGACCCGGAATCAACGGCCCTGGGACCCCCAATCCCAGGTTTTGGTGGCAGCCCCCTATTCTGCATTCCCAAATCCCAGATCCCCAATTCTGGGGTGTCCCTGACAGCCAAATCCCAGATTTTGGGGATGCCCAGATCCCCAAATCCCAGATTTTGGGGGATCCCAGATCCCCAAATCCTGCAGATTTTGGCAGATCCCAGGTTCCCAAATCTCCGATCCCCAATTCGGATTTGGGGATCCCCAATTTTTTGGGGCTGTGTTCCTGAACCCCTGGGCATTCCTGGGATCCCCCTTTGGGGGTCCCGAGACCCCCGTCCTGGTCTGGACACCCCAAATCCGGGCTCCCTGCCCTCCCAAGCCCCCTCCCCACTCCATGAACCCCCCAAAATTGGGGTCCCCCCTACCTGACCCCCCCCCCAGAATCCCCTCTCTGCCTCCAAACCCGGGGCTCCCCCCAACCCCTCCCCACCCCAAAATCGGGGTCTCCGCCCCATGACCCCCCCCGTGACCCCCTCCTCACCCCAAAATCGGGGTCTCCGCCTCCTGACCCCCCCGTGACCCCCTCCCCACCCCTGCACCCCCAATCCTGGGCTCCCCCTAAACCCCTCCCCTCCCCATATCAGGGGGCCTCCATCCCCACGACCCCCCCCAATTCACCCTCCCCACCCCAGAGACCCCACCCCAAACCCAATCCCGGTGACCCCTCGGTGACCCCACCCCCCCCTCACCGTGACCCCCCCCGTGACCCCGAGCTTCTGCGCCCCCCAAGCAGCGCCCCCCACCCCATAACCCACACCCCATATCCCCCCACACCCCGACAGCCCCTAAACGCCCCCTATCCCCATGTCCCCCCCATATC